GTACGTTTAGGCTGAGGACTAAAATAATTTCTCATAGTCAGGACTGGAAAAAAAATGGAAGAACCAAGGGATAAAAATTTCATTGAACTTATATAGGACTCTATCAGCTACTTCTTAGTAAATACACTACTTAGTAAGTACTCAGATGTCAGCTAACAGGTGAGATGTTCCAATGAAGATCCGTTTCGCAATGCTTACATACCTGCAACATGCCACCTTCATGCCCCAAAATATCCTGAAAAGAAAGTCCAGATGGACTGGCAGTTGAGGTAGTAAGACGGAAGGTTTTCAGCTGTCTTTCAAGAACTCTTCCGTCTCAGATCACTTCTTGAATGTCTTTGAGCCATCTTGTGCTCCATCTGAAACATCAGCTCAGGCCACTGTAACTTTTGGCTGCTGTTCTTCATTTCCGTGGCTTTCGCTGTTGGCGATGCGCTACTCGACGTTACAGATGCTTCAGGAGGAAGCAGTTCAGACTCCTGCTGTGCAGACTGTGTGCCGTTCCACTCTCCCTGCCATGTCCTCAACGTAACATCCTGTGTTTGTGTCATCTAATGCCCACAGGGACTTTGAAGTTATATTGGTCCTCCCTCCACCCCCCATATCACTCCTCTTCACAGTCACCGTTACAACTGAACGGTGGGCAAACAACAAAGCGTGGAAAACGAGTTAAAATAATGCATTTTATTGCCAAGTAGCATGTAGGCTGACATAGTAAAGGGTTTTTCAGATAACCAAAATGTACATTTCTACTCAGATAATCATCTCTCCCTGTACTTCTGAATCCCAGGAAGGTAGCAGATAATCCTTCTCCGTTTCCCGGGGAGCCCCTCTTTACTTGCTTCATTCTCCTTACGTCATTCATTTAAATTCACTACGAATCCAGGAAATCACACCCCATATTTCAAGAGTTGAGGAAAAGGACATATTTCAAGAGTTGAGGACTTCCATTTCAATCTTTATTGTTTCTCTGGGATCTCTCAGTCTTCCAACTTTGGAATACCGAGACGAAGAAGTTTGCAAACAATTCCAAAGCACTGAACTTTCAACTTAGATTTATTTCAGGTTTATAAAGAAAGCATTTTTATACCTGTAACTTGAAAAAAATCAAGTCAAATAGAAAACTTTCGACAAATAACTTAAAAATAAGTGTTTTAGGACAGTTTGACTTTGCTCATTTCATTACGCGGCGGAGACTGTACAAAACTGCCACAGCAGCAGTGGTATTGAAGTCTACTTAGGCATCTGACACAATTTTAGGTTAAACCCAAACACTGAATATTCAGAGCACTTTAAACATGTTAAACGATATAGATAGGTAACAGCACAGCCCAAATGCCGAAGTATCTCTCTATTTTCTACACAATTTTAAAAGCACTTCATGAAGTTGCATGAATTCCGACTGACATCACGTTAATTTATTTCAAAAGATGCTTATTGCAGAGTACTTTCAGATAAATTTACAAGAAACACCACTATTCTCCGGGCTGTGGAAAAGGACCAGCACATGGAAGCTGAGCTCTCGGTCCCAGTGATGTCAATAGGAATTTTGCCACTGACGCAAAAATTTCTTTTATCCACTCGGTTTTCTACTAGAGAAAAGGTGTAAAGGCCAGCTCAGATTTACAAAATAGCTATTTGAAAAATATTTCCATGAGGCACACGTGCAATATGAAGATGAGCTATCACGGATATCAAAACTACAGCCTTTAGTACTATTCCATAGGAAAGTCACAGATACGTTGCAGCAAAAGCAAATCGGAACAGAGAGGAGAGCACCGCTGTTAAACGAGTTCCTTCTTAAGGCCGTGTAACTGTGTTCTGGGAAGAAAGACATCAGTACTTTCTTTTTGGTATTACTTTCCCAAGTAAATGTATGGTATCATGCTTTCATCCAAGTTAATAAAATACATTTCAAATTAAGGTTTCTGTACACGTGACTCGCGTCATAACTACAGACACACTCCAACAGCCACGATTTAGAGATGTGTAACAGACAGATCCATAAAAAGGTTTTAACATTCCCGTAGTTAAGAGGTTTAGTGATGAGAATTATGACTTCTTGGTATGAGCAGATTCAGTAATAATTATTAGTCTCATCTGGAGAAGCGGAAGATTTAGAATCATAGAATGGTTAGAGTTGGAAGGGACCTCAAAGACCATCCAGTTCCAACCCCCCTGCCACGGGCAGTGACACCCTCCACTACACCAGGTTGCCCAAAGCCTCATCCAACCTGGCCTTGAACACTTCCAGGGATGGGGCATCTAGAACTTCTCTGGGCAACCTGTTCCAGTGCCTCGCCACCCTCTGAGTGAAAAATTTCTTCCTTATAGCTAATCTCAATCTGCCCTCTTTCAGCTTAAAGCCATTGCCCCTTGTCCTGTCACTACATGCCCTTGTAAAAAGTCCCTCTCCAGCTTTCCTGTAGGCCCTTTAAGTACTGGAAGGCTGCAATAAGATCACCCCGGAGCCTTCTCTTCTCCAGGCTGAACAGCCCCAACTCTCTCAGCCTGTCTCCATAGCAGAGGTGCTCCAGCCCTCGGATCATCTTGGTGGCCCTGGGTTTTCTTACGAAAAGCAGTGGCAGAATACTTGACTGCTGAAGTGCATCTCACCAAGGTTCACGTTTTTATGTTAAAGCCATAACCTGATAAAAACTCTGAAGAGCAGAGCTAAATGTAACGCTTTTCAGTTTTAAATTTTGAATCAGAGGTACGAACATGAAGTTTTGGCTATGTGCAAGTGAAACTGCGTGAAAAGTTAAAAGGCTTCAGCTTTATTCTATTTATTATTAACTGAACCACTTTGGTTGTCTGGAAGGTTAGGTCTGCCTGTGGCAAACCAACAGCGTGAGCTCCGGTGTACCTGCACCTGACTTCCCACCCTCAGCTGGCTGGAGGCATGGGTCAGCTCCTGGACAGATCCCACCTTTGCAGGTAACTGTGTACTTGCTCCCCTGCAGGTGAAAACAGTGCTGCATCAACGTGGCTCGGAGTTTCAAAAACCAGAACTAGCCTTTGCCTGGCTGTGTTGTGCCGGCGCTTGGCCGCAGGCACTGGAGTAGATACGCTCCTCACAAAGAAGGGATTGAAGAAATACGTTCCCGGGAAGATGCCGAGCAACTTATTTCTTCAGCTGAACTTAGCAAAGCAGTACACCTTGTAGAATCAAACATTAATTTGTTTAAGAAATTGAGGGCAATATTAGCTATGTTAATTTATTTTTCATTTCTGGTCACAAAATATTAGACAAAATATAAATCAATTTAAACCACTACATGCGAATTAAAAGCCTGAACACTCTTGAGGGTTGAGAATCCTTCTGGTAACTGTTTCACCTGAAATATGCATTTCAAATATTTAGAAACATGTAAGACTGCTTTTTTTTTTTTTTAATGTGAAATAATAAGCTTCTACAAAAATAGGCAATAGCAGCATGCATTTTAATTTTCAGAACATTTCGGGGGACAGATACGGACCGTGAGTTTGCTGCTCATTCTTTCACGTTTCACAAGCTGTCGAAGATGAAACGCAGCCACAGAAAGCTTCACAGTTAAGGCTCGGGGTCGTGTGATACCTATAAGCGAATCTAAACATGGATAACTGCCTTCCCTTTTCTTGGCAACAAACCCCACGCTACACCGCAGTGAGCTGGCTGAGAAATCAACCAACAACAGATGCCAAGTCTTCTGCTGGTGCTGTTTCTGCGCCACGCTGCGCCCCTTGGAGCAGCAGCCTCACCACGGGACTCACCTCTAGTGTCCCACGCAGCCACCACGAGGAGCAAGAAACAGACTGCATCAGAGTTCCTGAAGTTTTTCATTCAAAAAACCTTCTCCTCAAGTGAACAGATATTACTCAAATTCGGAGCATGCCACCTCTTCCAATCAGACCTACCGTCTCCTCTCCCAGAGGGTTACTCACCTACTTAACTCATCATCTGGAAACAATTCACCGCCTTTCACTGTTAAAACCATCCCATTTTGTTTGTGGCCTTTCCCAGCAAACAAAGATTTTCCGTTGCCAAACAGTTTAGACAGATAGTCTTAAAAGTTTTACAAATATTGTTCCAAATTCATAACGTACTTAAACCGAACTTTACACATTCACCTTAAGCTTGCACAGTATAGAAAAAGATTATAAACCCCCAATAAAACCATGCAAAAAAACCCCAGAAGACCATGAAGCTAACGTATCTAAATACAATTAAACCAAATAAAACACCAAAATAATATATTAAGTCTGATTTTGTTCAAGGTCTTGAATAACAAAGTAAGAATAATTTTCTTGTGTTAGTTTTTTTGGGATGGTTTTGTTTGGTATTTTTGCCCTTTTTTTTATTTCTTTTTTTTTGTTAGTTTGGTTGTTTTTACATATCAAATTTGCGATGAAGCAAAGTAAGTCTTAATTCCCCACATTCCCCAAATCCTCGTTCTTCAGTTACCAAAGGAAGTCTGTGCTCTTAACGGGCATTTAGTGTGTATATTCATACTTAGACTAAATTCTACATTTCCTTCCATGTAGAAGACTAACTCAAATTCCCAAATTTACCACATTAACACAAAAGTGAGTTGATAAAATATGAAAACACTTCAAAAATATTCCCATCAGTGTTTTTAACACAGATTATTTCTGGTCCGTTTTCAGTTCTGTGAGATATGTCAAAATAAATCTTTGAGACTTCTCATTGTTCTTACTACACCCAAAAATATATTCATTTACCAGTTCTCTCGCTTTAAAGGCATGAATGGAAATCTACATCATTCTGACAGCACATGAGATAAAAAATTGCACCAAACCCAGGTTTAAAAAGCCATCCTACTGCTAGGTATTACGCAGTTACGTAAACTGTAAAAATGCACAACTTTTGGAAGTATCACAATCAATCTGTCTTTAGATGTTAAATCATGAATATGCTGCACAACTGAGCGTTTGACAGATAACCAAAAAGTGCCTCACACAATCACTTCGTATCTTCACCTCCAAGCTTCTATGTCATAATTGTACACCAATCGCTTCAGTCCTGGACATCAAAGTAGTCAATTACTGGCTCTTCTTTTAATGGTTTGGATAAACCACTGTTTCCACCACTCCTGAAATTATAAGAGTATGAGATGTTACTCACCCCCATGACAAACAAGACACAAAGTAAACTGAAATCACAAACTCCTGTAATGTCTCAGTAAATGTAAACGCCATCCGCTTCCAAATTAGGTTTTCATGGAAGTACCTTAATGCTCCAGAAAGCCTTTGTTAACTGGTTTTTGGAAAAAACATATACTTTATGTCGCATACATCAACGGGTGGCTGAATTGATACAATTTTTTGGGGGGGGTTTACCAGAAAATACCATTTGCTGGTAATGTTGGTCACAAAAATGACACTGTACTGAAGACCAGATGTTCAACATGCCTTTTGAAAGGCGAGAGCAATAGAAGTACTGTTGAAGTGAGCTGATGATCCAATCTGCTCACTTTTAAAACCAGGAGTAACAAAAAATACATGGTAATACCAAATCCAAACACTGTAAAGATTCTTCCCATGAGACAGGATGAGATCTTCCAGAAGATTTTGTAGAATTAAGCACTTCTAAGGAAATTCCACTTCTAGTAATCAAAAATAAACGGCTAAAGTCCTTTTTTTATTTTATTTTGCCACATAACCCCCTTTCATCAGAGTCACTGAAGACAGGAATCCCACAGAAGTAAGTGGAACCAAGGAGTAACAACTTTTCTAAAATTCAGATGGAGCTACACCGTCAGCAGTCATTTTAGACGTGTGCTTTGCTCTAGATGCTTAGCTCAAACAATTTAAATTTTCTCTGAGCAGCCTACTTCGTAGTCCAGCAGCACCCAACTGCTCTGCAATATTAACTGAACAATTAAGCTGTCCCTTTCTGCCAACGGTGCTTCTCAGAACACGATTTAAAATGCTAATTTGGCAATAACTTGGAGGAAAAAAAGTTCTGAAAGGTAAACCTGAACGAAGAACAAGCCATCCATCCAAAAAGTTGGTAACTCTGAGATGACTACAGGTACCCACGCTGGCAGGTCACACAAAGTAAAGACTGTTCTATCAGACTGTTCACCAAGGAGCCTTATCTATCCCAAAAAAATCTCCTGTAATTCTCCTGTAAAAATCTCCTGTCACCTCTTCCCAACTACCTGATCTTCATGAAAAAATTAAAAAAACAGTCCACAATATTTGTTATATCGCTACTCCTGTACCACACAGTCAAGCTTACATTTTCTTAGCACTTGATTTCCGGTTTACTTCTACGAAAATAAAAATCTTAGTGCAGGCTGCAAGCGCCAAAGCTGTGTGTGGGGTGGGAAAACAGAGAAGCAGAGAGTATAACGTTGAAGTTCATGAATGCTCTCCTCAGGTAACTCAGCACAAAATTGAAGAATACTGTTTAAAAACCAAATTCCTTACTTATCTGTTTGTTTGTAATGAGGAATAGGAGGTGGAGGCCTGCTCTGCATTTCTTTATCCAGCACAGAAGTTAAGGTATTGCTTGGACAAATGGATTTCCCTCTAGAGAAGGAAAAGAAAGGTTATTTCATTCGGTAGGAAATTATATTCACTACGAAGTCAGGGCAAGAGAGTCACATTCGGAGCAGTTCTGGCATGAGAGTTTACACTTACCTACTTCAATCACCTACTGAAACAATCAGTTTTCCAACCAAGGAGACCAATCGTGTGCAAAGTCCACTTTTGTTACCCTGAACAAGATACCGAGTGTTCTGAATGTCTCCTGACCGCTGTGGATGAAAGCTGGAGAAGGCCCTTACTGGATGTGAGTGCTGGTGCCCAGACTCCTTCCTTCCCTTCTGCGTCCTTCCTACTACAAACTGCACAACGTGATCCACTGCTGAAATACTGAAAATGTAGTGCCTGTGTTCTGGGGCAACATATCTCTGTTCTTGCACAGAGCAGACACAAGATCAGGAGTGACACCTTCATCGCGTAACTCGGTGTCACGTGAACACAGTTCCCTGCATCTTCACAACCTTTTATCCAATGTTTTGGAAATCCGTTCTTAAACTCCGGCAGTGAGTGCCGTTAAACCTGTTCAGCACTCAAAGCAACCCTGCTGAGGAAGAGGAAGAAGTCCGGTTGTAGGAAGCTTTCCTAGCACCAAGGAGGCTTTCTCACTCCTCTGACCAATCTGTACGGCGATGTGACACAATGGGTGAACGTGTGAAGAGGAAGAACGGTCTCTTTGTCCAGTATCAATGTGAATTATCTGAGCCTATAAGAGAAATCTGTGGGGAATGCTGAGGACGGGATGAAACAAATTGAATCAAATCATTTGGGCTTTCTGCTGACTACTAGCCCCTGGACTTGAAGAAGCTGTTGTGAAATACTCAAAAATATCATCCTGGAACTTGAGCTATCACTTTTCTGATGCTTCAAAGTTTTTTAGTATCTTGAAGAAGTGTCAAAGAAGAAGACAATTAAAAGCAGCTTTGGATGAATCCACTGAAATCCACAGAACACGGTAGTCTGTTCCCTGAACAGCACAAGGCATGGAGTGAGCGTGCCACCTCTCCTAAAGCCACAGAGGAAGGTCCCCCATTCCCAAGTTGCAGGATATACCTTTGTTTTTAAAGCACAGTCATCTGTCCTGCTCCTTTCTCCAATACTTTATCCTCTTCACTAATTTCTCATCCCCTTCCTTCTATTTCATTTCTTAGATAAGCTTTTCCTAATATGATCTGTTTCCTCACCTTCCTTTACTAGTATCAAAGAGACTATCCTCAATTGTTTTACAGAAACAGAAAAGGGTATCAAGGTGGTGTTCCATCCCTCTTGGAGGAAATCAAGACTGTAGCTAAGTTACCAACCCATGAAAAAGCTCAGGAGCAGCTCACGGCACTTTAGTAGTATGGAAGGTGACACTTTTTTTTTTTATAACTACAGTCAATATCTACAGTTAAAAGCTACTGTTTGTCCAAGAACCACCATCTGACAGTGCTCAACTAAATACGATCCTCAGTGAGCAGCAGAACCAAGGAAGCCTTGATGCCTGATTTGGGAAGCCTTCCCATGGCACGTCTCCAGTGAAACCACCTTGCTTTTCCCCCAGCTATACTCCCTTTGTTTCCTTCTCGGATACGAACTGCCTTCTGGGGGTCTTCTCCAAATGTTCCCAGTTATACTTAGAAAGCTCTTCAATCTGCAGTTAATTCCAGCTCCCTCTTTGTCCGTTAATAAAGAGGGAGTATAGTCTGTGGCAGGTTCCGACAGATGGAGAACAAAGAAGTTCCAATACCAGTTTTTTTTCAAAGAAGGTGCAAATTTAGATACAACTTCTCAACTAACTCAGCAATTGATTTTCATAACATTTTGTGACATTTATTATCTTTGTTACCAAATTTAGCTGATGGTAAAAAGACAAAAAGTTACTGCTAAGATAGATGGAAAACAGCCTTGCAAAAATCTTTTCTTAGCTTTTTTTTTCCTAATTGGGTTTTCTGCTCTGAAGATTTACTTGACTAGTGGAAATAGAAGCCTGTGAAATTATCATTTTATAAAAACTGCTTTAAAAAAAATTTCCACTGGAAGTCACTGTAAGTTGCAAACTGCATTTTAAATAATCTCATGCGAGTAAGCGAGAAAAACATCCGATTATTTCAGCTAGAGTTAACAGATGTGAAAACCAGAATGAATTACGTACTTCACGGCGGTGATAACAACGTTACGCTTTGGTTCGTTGTCGTAGCTCACACTTTCAATGCCATAAACCTGAGCTAATTCGTGGATGATTCTGCGGTGGTCTCTGTTCATCGGTGGGTAACAATGGCTCTTCTTTGTATGCTTGCCCTGAATTCAAGAGAAAAGGTTTAAAAAATAGAAAAAAAAACATAAAAAAGGTAAAGTTTTCCTTCGAGGGGCTAGGGGGATGAAGAAAGAAAAAAGCAAGTGCTTCTACCTCTAAAATTTTGCTGCTATGATGAAATTAGCAACACAAATTGCTAATATCTCAGTATTGACAGAAAACTCATCTTAAAGCATCCATTTATTTCCCCAAAATTAAATTATATGTTCTCCACTGTTTCCATCACCTCGAAGTATACACACGCATATACATGTACCTTTGAAGTGTGAAATACAAATCCTGAATGTATCCGTTCTACTTACATCCCAAAGGAGCGGCATAACAAGATTTTTTCTGAATTTTCATTTTTCAGAATGATGTGCCAATTTTGAATCAGATCTAATATTACTTTTCAGACTGGCTTTGCAGTGCAGATCCTGCAGATGGCTACAAAAGTGTCGGTTTATTTATCGCTTCGCTCTACCAAAAAAACTGCAAAAATCTGCAAAATCTGCAATGTAATGGCATCAACAGACTTTTTATCAAATAAAACCAAAATCGTAGCAGGAATTTCAGTTAACAAAGGCTGACAATACTCGATTCGACACCGAGTGCTGTATAAATAGTAAAAGAACAACAAAAAGCAGGGCCTTACGAGCCCGGTCCTAATGGGTTGGGTCCCTTCGTAACAGCACCTGCAGATGAGGGTGACTTCAGGGACACAGGACACTGCTTCAGCGTTTGCCTTGGTTGTCACCAGCAAAGTCTTCTAGCTCTTTGGTCTACAGACAGGGTTCGAGTGGAAGACAAACTACCCATAGCAGAGTAAGTTTGAGTCAGAGAAATCCCAACCAAATTTTTTTTTCTAGAGAAATCCCAACCTATATGAGTTCCTGGGACTGCAGGCAGTGCATCTGAGGGTGCTGAGAGACCAGAACGATGGGCTGTGAAGTACTGGACAGGCTGCCCAGGGAGGTGGTGGAGTCTCCATCCCTGGAGGTATTTAAAAACCGTGTGGATTAGGTGTGGAGGAACATGGTTCACCCTGACAATGCAGGGTGAATGGTTGGACTCAATGATCCTGAGGGTCTCTTCCAACTAAATGATTCTATGATGTCCCCCTCTGTCTCTGAAAGATTGTAGAGAATGGGGTAGAAACCCAATGACTAGAGAAAGGTAATTGTTGCAACTATGTTAAAAAACCAAAACAACAACCAAAAAAAATCCAAACCAACCCAAGAACTATGGGCTGATCAGCTGCACTTCAAAGCCTGGGGAAAAAAATCATAGAGCAAGTCCTTTTAGAAGCCATTTTTAGGTGCATGAAGGAGAAGGTCCCTGGGAATAGTCAATGTGGAATTACAAAGGGTCAGTCACCTAAACTAAAGAAGATCCCACGTAATAGAGCAGGATATGCATCAGAGGTACGTTGTAGCTACCCTGTAAACAGAGGGTTAACATCTGTCTCCTGTTGAGGTCACGTTGGATGCCACCATGCTCCTCTGGCCTTTCAGCCACTCCTCAGTTTTGTGTGATCAGCCAACGTGCCGAAGCTACACTGTGCCCCATCGTCCAGGTCACTGACTAAGATGTTAAACAGGACTGGACCCAGTACGGACCCTGAGGGCACACCACTAGTTACTGCTGGGTTTGCCTACTGAAGACTTCACGAAAGAAGAATGATTTTTTACTGTATTTGCATTACGATACATGGATACCAAGTTTCAAGGCTTGTGTCACCGGCCTTTGGTACTCGAAAAGAAATCTCTTCTCCTTTGAAACGAAATTTAACTTCTGGGGACTTCTTGCACCTTATGGAATAGCAATTGCCAACAGCCTGAGGGGCACGATGGTGCAGAACGGGTCCTCGAGATACTAAATTCTCATGTGGGCCTTACTGGTTCATCTTGATCATGACAAAAGCTTAAGTAACCACTGGGAAATTCTCCCTTTAGGCCAGTCAGGGAAAAGACTGTCACATTTGGTTTGTTTTCATTTTTTCATTCTCTTCTGCAATGTCAGTGCTCTTTAACAGACATCATTTGTCTGCTTGGCAGATCGGATCATTATTTAACAAATCGTTGGTTACTGCTGAGAACTAGAGCACTGGAGATGCTCTTGAGCTCTCTGGTTCTCCTTCTCTGTCGTGTTTGACATCACTAATTCATTCAAGACCTCTGGTTGTCCTTTTTTTACTATATTTTGCGCATCTCAGTTTGACGCTAGTATAGGTATATACACTGGGACACGCAGTTATGTATACAGACACGTGTGCATACGTGCATATAATAAAGGCAGCACATAACGGTATTTGTAAAACAGGATAACCACAGGAAGCACAACGTTGAGTAAATTATTTTTAGGTGATAACAACTGTCTACGCGTCTATTACCCAGTGTCTGAGGTTGGAGAGGCCCGAACATCACTAGACACAGATAGAATCATAGAACGGTTTGGGTTGGAAGGGACCTCAAAGATCATCCAGTTCCAACCCCCCTGCCATGGGCAGGGACACCCTCCACTACACCAGGTTGCCCAAAGCCTCATCCAACCTGATGGATGGCCCCTTATAGGCTTTCATTTCAACATGGAAAACAATGGGCAAGAACATCACTCAGGTGGACAAGCACAAGGATTGTTTAAGAAACATCATACATAAAAAAGAAGGAATAAAGTTAAGTAACTGTCCTCAGGGGGTAGAGGGAAGGAAATTAGTGCTTCCTACAGAAGGCTAACTCTTTCTTGAGCTAAGGGCAACTGAAGACAGTATGGTTTACATTGTCCTTCGAATCACAAATACCGGGTCAGGCATGGTGCAGCAGCAAGCCAGGAGTATGCCAACGTGATGGGCGTGAAAGTGGAATTCCACTTTCACTGAAAAACCTATGATTGTGTTTGTGGTATCAATCTCTCTAGGTGTACTCTACTGGAGTCTGCCAAACTGTGGCTGAAATCTTGTCTCCTTACAGAGGGAGGAAGACTACCTCACACACTGGCAAATGCAGGAAGGCATCCGCAAACTTGTGAGCAAGTTCCACTACAGGGATCAGAAGAACCTAGGCTTTCCTCCTCAAAGTCTCAACTTTTAAACACCATCTTTGATGGTTAATATTAATAGAGATCCAAAAAATTAATGATAATCCATTGACGTGTTGAAGCCTAGCGCTAGTTGAATCTTTAAACAAAGCTTGGCTGTCACCAAAGTGATCCTGAACTACTACATCTCCTACAAATTTGGTTCTATTTATAATTAAAATGTGCACTCTATTGGAGCCCAAACAGATCTAGTGTCAACTCATCACTAATAAATAATTAATAAAGTTTAGTAACGTCAAACTCCCCCCAAACTAAACAAAACTGTTTCTCTTAAGTCACACAGGATATCGGAATACTGACCTTATTCACGGCTTCCACGAGCATTCGCATTTCCTTCTCAATGTCACTGACAAATTTTAAATCCTTCCTGCAAGAACAGCATTCTCGGTAAACAAGGCAAGAGAGCGTACAGAGATACAGCACCTTCATCTTTCGTAACAGTCTTTTCAACAACACCAAAATCAAAGGACTCAACTGACTGAAGCAGAAGCGAGAGCACATTTTGATTCATATATTACATTTTTAAAACGTTACTATGTTATCACTATTACATCATTAATTATTTTCCCTTCAACCCTTGGAACCCAGCATAAAAGTCTACGATACAACTCTACTGTGCTGAAGCAGTCTGCTGGGAGGGACCCACACTGGAGAAGTTTGGGGAGAACTGTCTCCCATGGGAAGGGACCCCACGCTGGAGCAGGGAAGAGCATCAGGAGCCCGCCAGGGGGAGGACTATATTCTACATACATGTAAGAGGACAGTCCTTACAAAATGCTACTTTTAAGTGCAAACACTAATGAAATAGTACCTCTGCAATGAAAACCCTCAGCTCTTATCTTGCAGTAGGCCAGTCAGTTGGAAGTAAAGCAAGAGGCGATTTACTCTTAAAACCTGTGTGGCCATTAATGTAAAATTCTCACTTGTGTCAACACATCAGCAAACAAAATAAAGGATTTTCAAGTAGAAAATATCCTCACAAAAATATGAAATTTCTGTAGCACTAGGATAGCGAAGCAAGGGCAAAACAGATTCAGCTGTTCTTAAAACTCTGAGCTGGTACAAAACGTCATGCCTACAAACACACACACAAGAGTAAAAACTCCACAGGTAGCACTTATCATTAAGCATCTTTTTAAAAACGTCTCTGATCCCTCCTTGTCCTTCCAGATTGCGTAGTATTTATTAGTGTGAGGCTTTTGATATTACCTTGACTTTCTATTGCTTGATTTTCAGATGCTTCAGCCTAGCAGCCCTCTTTTTAGTCAGCACTAGCATAGGCTTAGCTCTGCATCAATCAAGTGTTTTATTAATTCTATTTCTTTATTTTTAAAATAAAGGCAGTAAGGCAAAAAAAAAAAAGAGACTGGTGGACAGAAATAATGTCCGCTTTTGTCTTTGTCTTGAAAAGTTTACAAGGAGCACCAAGATGGGGGTTGGTTGTCTATAACAGCAATGGAGACATGAGAAGTGCAGCTACTCATTTGTAGTGAGAACAGTGGAAAATTACGTTCTTGTTCTAAATTCAGTTCTGTTCCAGAACAAAGCAACCCATCAGGCACTTTTTACTTTCTAGGTTCTCGTTTTGGAGGTCTTGAGAAGTGCACATCACCTCCTTTGCCTCGATTATCACCTACTGCTAAGGCTGGAGAGAAGAGTAACTCCACACGGGCATTTTTACAAGACTAAATAGAACTGTTCTGCATTTCCCGTCGTGCTCTCAACACTGTTTACCTGTGACACCTGTCGCAATTAGAACAACATACCTAGCATCTTCTTTCAAAAGGTCACTGTACTTTGGTCCAGAAGAACGGATGTTAAAAGGATCAGAGTTGTCATCTATTTCAAGAGCCTCTGCAAGACGCCTAAATTTGAGGGTAGGTGGAAAAAAAACAAAACATGAACAAAACCTCGACTGAATGAAAATAAACACACAGATCCCCCCAGCCTCCCAAGCACGCTGTTGTTGAAGAGTAAAAACATGGGGTACTGTACAGATGAACATTTTGTAAAAGATACAGTCTGTACATTTGAAACTACTCGTTTAGGCCTTTTTACTATTCTAGTAAGGTCTCAGATCACTGCATATACATCCCTGTAACACAGGAGTCTTCACATTTATCAGTTCTCTAAGTCATGTAGGAAAGGACTGTTTTCCCACAGAGCATTAACTTCCTGAACCTGGACTTCTGAAAAAAACCAAGCAAGTTCATAGCCCACCTGTTCCTCTGAAGAGCTAAGCATTCTTCATCACATTGCAACCTGAGTTATGAAAGAAAAAATAAGAGTTAGAATCACTGCCGCTACTCATACTTTTCAAACTGGAGCTTTGTTGGTGTTAACGTCATTATCACAGCCTATAAGAATTAAGAAAAGTGTGTGAGAATAGTTTATTGTGTTAGATCCGATAATACAGCTCAAACCCATGAAACAGCAAAGATCTTTGAGCTCACCAGCCCTCCTCCAGGTCTTGAACAGAAGCAGCAATTACCAAAGCTATAGAGAAGCTGAGAAAAACAGCTTTTGAATTAGATTTTATTGTATTGGTAAATTAGATAATTTGAGAAAAAAAATCACAGTTGACATCAGCATTGAGAGGATGCTAGGAAGGATGGGAAACCAGCAAAGGAAGAAGACGTGACGTCACTTACTCCTATGCATCAGAAAATGCTATCAGCCAGGGAAAACAGGAAAATTGGCTGTGTGTACGGAAGATGACGATGCATCGTAAAAATCAGTATGTCAGCAGAGCACATTAACTTATAGTGTCAGCAGAGTTAGGAATTTCACTTTTCTGTCTCATTTTGAAAGGTATTTTATAATTTTATTTGAAGAGATAAAAATGTCAGAGAAGGATCAAGAGTTCTCCAGAATTTCACAGTGAGTTACGAACTTCTGCCCCTTAGACTGCACAAGTGAACTGATTCTGCTGATGACAGTTCCTTGATTTCAAACCATTAACTTCTACAGGGGAAACTGGTTCATTCAGTGGCATGTATTTTGTTTGGACACACAGAGCTATAGGATCCAGAACTTCCAGTGGTTTTCTAGAAGGAGGCAGAAGAACGCTAACATACTTGCGCTCTAAGATCAAGTGGGTACTGGTCAAAGTCATTTGCTTGAAGAATCATTTTCTCCCCCTCTAAAAGAGGAATGTAGCCAATTTAGAGAAGCTGCTCTAGGACTGACCAAATTTGACACAATGTCAACCCAAACTCTAATAAGGAAACCAAGTATAAAATGTCTACTGAGAGGACCAGAGAGAAACAAAGGAAATCTCTGCACAGTTTGCATAAAATATTCTGCTACTGTAAATGAATGAAGCAGATTTTTAAGTTACTTCAAAAATACCGGAGTTTGACAAAAAATAGAAATTTAAAAGTAAGTACTTTATGTGCCAGCATCTCCTTTTTCCCCCCACTCCAGTATTTGGTAGATGAAAAGAGTGGGGAAGGGAAAACACTTCCTCTGACTGTCCTTTTTTCTTCAAGGACGTTCGAGGCTACCTGCCTTGGTATGTTCAGATATCATATTAGGAAAGATTTGTACAAAAAAAGTCATCTCTGGTAACTTCAACTATTCTAGGAAAGGGCAATATAAACCTGCCCGCCGAGAAAGATGTGTGACAATGACCACAGTGCAGTTCATATTACACGCTGCAAAGGCTGGGACACCAGCAGAGGCACTGGTGTCTCACTTGCTCTCCTGGCAAGCTGCTAGCACAGACTTGCAGCCTCAGTAGCCAAGCAAGTCATCCTCTCTTCTTCTACCACCCCACACCCCTATCCTCCTGCCCCGAGTTCTAGCACTGCCCAGTGGTCGTTTCTTTAAACAGTGACTCTCTTTTTGGAGAAGCTGAAGTTGGCTTCATATTGTTGAGTATATTTGTATCTGGTTGGCACTGTGAGACAAGTAGGAACAAAGCAGTTGAGGCTCAATCCGGATAAGGCAGAAGTTACTCTACAGTAGCTCTAGAGACAAAAAGTAATGCTTATATTGTACATTTTTGAGCATTCAATTAATGGAAACAAACAGGGTAGGCTAAAAAAAGACTCAATTACTATTTCCCAATTGTCTCTCTCTTAGACAGTGCTTCCACAGTACTAACACCACGCTCTTTAAAGCTGCGTGCAGGAATCGGTGCAGCTCTCCCTCTTTCACCTTGTTTTTCCCCCACTTTCTTCTGAAGTATGACACTGGCCCAACTAGAACAAAGCTGGAGACTGGGATGAGCAGGTGCTCCAACATGTCGTTTTTGGTGTTAGTTCACCCTGCCCATTCACTCAGGGTTAAAATTATTTCAATGTCCAAAACTATCCAAAAGGACTTGGCAATATTGTGCTCCAATTTTGTAGACATTACACAAGCAGAACAGAATGACTAGCAGAAGTTCTTGAAGTATCCTAGTATTAGCTGTTGATGCAGGAAGTCATGAAGCAACTGTATGGGAAATTTCACTATTTTGGCTTTACACAATAAAAAGGAATATTATATTTTAACACACATAACAGACTGACTCTGAAATAATCAAATTCACAGTGAAGAGAGGAAAGAGAGTAACAGAAAATAAACTAAAAACAGAAATTAGGGACTTCATGGGCAAAGACTTCAGGAAGCCAGGTTTCTGACAGAAGGATATCAGAGAAACTTGACAATTCCTTAAAGAAATGATACTAAAAGTAAAAAGACAAGCTATTCCAATCCTAAGGAGTATCAGGAGGAACAGAAAATCAAACTTCAGCCACAAATGTTTTTGTGACTTAAAAGCAGATTGGCAGTGCCAGTCGGTGTGAGAATACAGAAGCACCAATCAAACTGAGATACAAACGTAAAAAATCTAAAAGGGCTAACAGAAAAATATTATAAATAGTAAGATGACAACTAGGAGAAAATATGCCCTATTGTTACAGTAGAGTCATCAGGCTATTTAAAGTCCTCCTATTTTAGCTGGGATTTTGTTGGCAATGTTACGTATTTTCCACAGGGACACACAAGGGTTTCAGATGTTTCTACATGTATCCTTACCTGGCCTGCTTCATCTCTTTTTTCGTAATAAGCCTACTGATTTCCACTGAATCCCCAAGCTGCAGATCTGTTAACTTAGTGGCTATAGATATAGCAGCTATTCTGAAAAAGAAGAGCGTTAGATTTCATTGGAGGCAACACAAAAACCTCTGACAAGGTGTCTCAAGCTGCAGATTTAAACCTCCAGGTGGAACAAGACAGACAGACTGACTGTTTCCTCATGGGGCCACAGAACGGGACTCTGGTTCCGCATCACCTAGTTTTAGGAGTCCAGTCTAGCTGTGTCAGTTCAGAGGTCACTCTCTCCCTCAAGTAACTAGGAGCCAGCCTAACGAGTGGACGTGCTTCTTCAGGGAATTTTTTAAGAGCATCAATTCTAAGCAAGGCAATGCAAGTACTCTTTCTTCTTACCTGCTTAACATTTAAACTACAGCTGACCGTACAGCTTAATTGTCTTTTTAACTTTTATGTGATTCTTCCTTAACTTCGTGCAACTAAAACCTGTAAAGTTTAAGTCTAAAGTACTTAGAAATTTGTTTAGAAAGTATTGATGGTACAAGCCATAAGGAAAGAGCAAAATGCCTACTGAGACTGTTACAATTTTCCTTATAAAGGTTCTTCATCATTCCCTTCAATAATAAGCCTTCTCAGTCTGGTTTTCTTCCTAAAATTTCTAGAACTAAAATACAAAGCAAGTTTTTAGTGAAATATCCCACACCATTCTTAAACAAAATCCTGAAAACGGGACATTCTATCCTCTGACCCATCTTTTCCGATAAATTCAGACAAATACGTTTGTCTCTGTGTTTTGCATCACATTCAGAGAATTAGTCATCTATCAGGAAGGAGGATAATCGTATCCCATAAAAACAAAAAGCACTGAGAGGCACCATCAGCTTCACATTTACCAGGAGGTGACAAAGTCTCAGTAATGGGCCATTAGGTGATACAACATCATAATCTGTATCATGTGCACAGATACAGCAGAACATTCCCGTTCCTGTTTGTTCCCTTGGGCATTCCTTCACGGATGTTCACTGACAAAGCTCAGAGCTTTTTCATCGCTCCTGTAGCATTTTGGAGAAAACCTGGATACTCCATTAACTTGCTGACCCTTCCACAGTAAGTACTACAAGAGTTACCTTGTTGTGTTTAGGTTTTGGTTTGAGGTTTGTTCTGTTTGCTCCCCGAGTGTGTAGATGGCGGGGGAAAAAAAAGCCCAACCTAACTCCCACAAAATCAGAACACTCGAATCTTTCAGCAACCTGAACAGCTGGAGTTACCATACAAACTCAGCTGACATTAAAGGCTGCTTTTGTTAACACCACATGGGCCAAAAGTAATTTTTAAACACAGATGAACACACCTGAATGAACAGATACAAAACTTGAAACTGGGTGCTGCTTTCCTTTCCTCTTGGCTTGGCTCTGATCAGATAAACAAACACGTATGTGTTCAGCTGAAGCATGCAAGGACTCTCACTGATTTCAAACAACCATCTTCCTTGTATGAATGCTTTTGCAGTGCCTGAGCTACAGAAAACGAGGAGAAATAACAGTCTTCCAAAATGTGGACTTGTCATTATGCTACCTTCCCACCTTACCATCAATGACAAGCAGGTGGCAATTTCAAGTGGTATTTCAAAGCTGAGTCAGTCTGCTGATTTGTATTCACAATGAGACAGATCTTAAAAAAAACCAAACAACTTTTTCTCTAAAAATGAAAAAACGATCCCCACTCCTGTAAGACTACCTTGCAGTCAACTCAGTATTGACTACAGTTGTCCTTACCTGTTTCTGATCAGCATGTTTTTCTCCTCATTTTCATTAGGTGGTATTAAGCACCTATGACAAAGATGCTAAGCCATCTTCTGTCAGAATTTGGAGCAGTTCAGTAGGAACAAAGCAGCATATCCTAAGCTGGGCTGGTGTCAAGCCCTCAAATAGCAGTTCCAATTAAAACAATCATCAGGAAGCTTTCTTTGAAAGACAGGAAGAATCCGTGACTGTGCTCTCCTATCAAATGGGATGCAGGGCAGAACTCTGGTTCCATATCAACACTCTAGATTAATGTTTTGACTCCCTCTCAATCACAGCCTCAAAGTAAGATTTTTTTTTTTTTTAAATTAATATTACTGTTTTGCTGTTTTCATTTCAAAAGTTCCAAAGCCTTACTTTTCTTCTTTTCCTTGTCCCTTCCTTGCTGTCTCTTGTAAGAAAGAGAAGTAAGTTTAGAAATAGGATCTGGAGACAAATCTATTGCAATCAATGAAGCTGGGTAGGACTCAGTTTGCATATGGAGAACAAAGATTTAGATGCCAAAGCTCTCCCACTTCAATTTACCTATTTCAGAATGACTCGAAATCACTCTTTAGCTTCCATCATCTGTACTGCCTGAGTTCCATCACACATGAAGGGAACTTGGATAGCAACTCCCATGTGGAGTGCTATGTGTAACAGCCTCATTCAGGAGCCTGG